CAGGCAGGGGCAGCAGCCCCCGCTCCTGGAGCCTCGGGGAGCAGAAGCAGCCCCCCACGTGCTACAGCCCACTGGTACCCCCGACTCAGCAGTCAGCGGTTTTGTTCTTAAACACCCTCAGACCCACGGAATACACACGTGGAGAAACCCATCAATGTTACAGTCGCTTCAGTTGTAAACGGTGGGGGTTTTCCTGTTTTCCATCTGATGCTCCACTACTTCCACAGATGGACAACTCAGACATGCCATCGCAGATGTCTCCCTGTGAAGTTAAGGTGGCTTAAATTTCTGTCCCATCACTTTGTGACCGAGGACTAACATCACGAGAATTTAAGTAAGGACAGAGGCTTTGAATGGTTAAGTTTCCAGTGTGTAGCCCTCAGGGTGAGCCAGGCTCCAGTAAGCACATGGTGTCCACAGGGCGCTTGGATGCTATGTTTGGGTGGGAAAATGTTACTAGAATAGACGTATACTTGTTTAAGCAGCCACGTGATGTGGACTGCTGGCACTTCTGCTGCTGCCAGGAGGAAAATTCAAAGCATGCCTCTGCCATTATTTACGCTTTCTAAAAATACCCCAAATGATCAGTGCATGCCCTAACGATGCCCGATGGAACAGAAGGATTCACAGAAAAGTGTGAGAAGCTGTGCAGATGTAGGAAAAGAGAAATTCCCCTCATGCACATGATGGGAGGTCACACTTCTTGCAGGTCACGCTGTTCCTCATCGTGTTTCCAGGCTGTCTCCAACGCAGCTGCCGGCCTCACGGTACCTAGCCATCGTGGTATGAACACGCCACAGGATAATTTACGAGGAAGACAAGGTTTTAAGAGCATGCTGCCAGTCTCCAAAATGTTTGTGCACACCCAGTCATTTTATTCAGAGCACTTGTCCAGCCTTGCAGGTGCTGGTCCGTGGCGCCTGCATGCCACTTTCTTACACATTTTAAAAGGTGGTGGTACCTGTAGTTACAGTCCACATAACAGACAAACCTTGCAGATGCCAGTGAAGCACAGTGGAAACATCTTTGCTGTCAGGAAGGTTTTGAGTTGGGTTTTTTTTCTACATATTCACCATATTTAGCTAGTCAGTTAAGTCTGGGGCAGTTCCAGGTGTAAAAAGCTACAAATTACAGGGGCTTAGTGAACTGACAAAATAACAGCATAGCTTGTCTTCTTCCAGGGCTAAGCATCAGCAGAAAAGTTTTACAGGACTGGATTTCTGAACCTTGATTCTGCCTAAATTTCGTATAGACATGTAAATTCCTTAAGTCACGTTTCCCTTCATGAAAAAAATTCCCTAAGCATTGAAAAACTTGTCTAAAAGAAGTTTATTCTCTTGAGTTCAATAAATCTCTTCCTTTAAACCAACGGTGTGCATTCTCAAACTTACGAAAGTGTTCACTCTTGAGTACCTGTTACATACCCAGCTAGCATTTATTTTGCATGGGGTTTGGACTATTTGGGACTCCAACAGTGTTCCTCCTTGCAGGCTGGAGGAAAGGGGCTAACTGCATGCAGTAGGTATAGTGCATGAGTATTAATACCTCCTTGGAACATCTATTGTGCAAAGCTGGTAATTCTGCTTATATAAATTACAGTTTCTGAACTAGGGAATTAGGGGGATATAACTTTTCCATATCAGGTGCTATGGATTATCTAAAACCAAAATTATTCAAAAAAAATTGTGCAAGGTCTACATGCCTTGGATTGCAAGCCTCTTATTTTGCCTTAGAAAAGCCCCAAACATAACTGAACGAGTAGATAAAAGAATTTGTTCTGGAGTAGTTTATAAAGGATAGTAGATCATCTACTTTGTCTTAATTTTTAAGATGTCTTAAAGCTCTTCACACAACAAGGACTACAACTAAGCAGCCAACATGAAACAAGTCTTGAAAATGATCAAGAATATTTTTAATATGATCTTATTTTGTTCATTGAAGTAAATCACGTAACAGTGGTAGCATGCAAGTCAAACACTTTTCAAGTTCAACAGCATTTACAAATGAGTAGTGGGAGAGTTTTGAGCACTTGGTGCCAAAAACAAGTCAGCAGGTAGGAATTTTGGAGCTACCACAGGTTAATCATTATATACACTGAATAACACCAGCTTACTTATACTGCTACCAAGCATAATAAGGTGTCAAAGTCAGCACTCCAATACAAATACAGTGAAATAATATTTCCCAAATAAGCCACCAAAGCAGATAGGCAGGCTATTTTTATATGTTTGATTTACCTGTAGAGGGGGCAAATCCAGAACTCTGAGATGAACAACTTTGTTTCTAGACAAATTTCTCAAAATTTGTTTATACTTGACCCAGATTTTAGCTAATTAAAATTTAGCAATTTACCTTTCTTTCACATCCATTGGAATTTGGCAAGAAAATTCAGTTATTGAGGCATGAAAATCACATATGGAGCCACACAGAAGGGAAAGCTCATTAAACTATGCAGCAAATAGAACACACACACACCACCTAAACTTACCTCCAACATGTTAATAGGTCCCGGTTCTGAAACAAGAGGTTGGTGTTTAAGTACTTTCGAGTATTACTCAAACTACTAAGGTATTTTTTATATTAATCATTTAAGAGCACTTGAAACTCATCTCTAGGTAAAGTGGAATGAACCTGATTCCCTTGATATGGGATGGAAAGTCAAAGAAAATTGAAAGATTATTACAAAGCATCTACATCTTCCTGCAAGAATGGAGTACTGCAGGGAAAACAAATAAAGCAAGGATATAAAACTTACGAAACAGACCTAAAGACATTAGATAATTATAAATATATTCCAGCTGAGAACATAAAAATAAGTACAAGCTCCTGTGCAATACATTCAACAATTTTAAGATTGACTCATAGCATTTACAGGAAATACATTTAACTAGAGGAAGACAAAAGGGCTGCCACCTGCATCACCAATGATTACACTAGTAAGCCATGTGAACTTAAATGTTCAACTTATTAACAAGGTTCAGGTGAAAGGAAGGTCATTACAAAGAAAAACAGATATTTACAGGTCTAGTGAAAACTATACGTTAAAAATCAGCAGGGATTTGGCAAATGAAAGATCATACATAATTAAGCATAAATACCAAAGGCAAAATTAAATTGGAAAATGAGCCAAAAAACCCAAAAAGCTATCTTCTAGACAGTTATGGAAATGTAAAGCAAGTGAGAGAACCACAGAGCCAAGATTTTTGAAGGAAACAACCTGTGAAGCTGTTGAGGACTGCCTTTGTCGACTAACTCCGGCAACATTTTCTCTTCACAGTCCTACGCTTAAGATCAAAGGGGATACCAAAGTATGAAAGGATTCTGAAGCTACATAATAAGGAAGAATCAACAACCCTTTGGCAAGAGCAGCTCTTTACGCCTGAAGGACCTCTTGAGCAGACAATAGAAAGTCAACAAATATTTTTGTTACAATGAATATCATAGCAGAATACAGGAGCTCACCTAATTAAGAAAATTTAAAAAACTAATTGGATGAGGACGTCCATATTGTGAAAAACAATCTGGGGGAATTTTTTTGTTTGTTTTATACTAATCCAGTTTCCATTATAGCAGTCTCATATTTTAGGCAGGACGCCCTACTTTCATATGAACAATACAGAAATTTCTATATCATGTCAGACTACCATATCATTATTACAAGCGAAGATAAGCAACTATGCAGAACTTCTTAGAAGTCACTGAACATTTTATACTTCGTCAAAATTGGAGAATTAAAGTTACCGCAGCAAGTTATTCACTTATTAACCTCGACAGTACTGAGAAACAGCCACCGAAATATCAGCAGTTAAATCAACAGTTAAATAGTTACTTCAATTCGGTAGTCTTAAAAATACAAAACTTCAGACTTTCTGACCACTGCAAATGCTGCACCTCAGTTCAAAACCACAGTACTTACAAGGTGTAATTATACAGTACTTAAAATTAAGGTGTCATTTTTGTTTAAATAGAACCACAAAGTCTGTTACTCAGCATGATCCTTGGCACTTCTGTTCATGTTAATATATTGCATATTTAGTAACTGTCATCAACACTGTCTAAATTAGTTAAGTGTAATAACCTTCAACAGTGACAGTCAGTATGTCTGCTAGTTCTGGAGAAACTGACTTATCGTTCCTTTACAGCAGGAGTGAGGAAAAACCAAAATGCCTATTCAGCAGATATTTGCAGACATCAGCTGCACAAGTTCCATGTGTTTGTGTATTGATATTTATGGAGGCTGGTTAAAATTCTTATTCAGAAAACCCTACTAATCTCTTACTCCTCATTTTTGCCAGGAATTTTTTGCTGCAAGAATGCAACAGAACAGGAAAGTCTTTTCTTCCCGCCTCTGGCCAAACTGAAAGAATGGGGTTATTTTACACTCCATGCCAATAGTGTTGTGAAAGAGTAAAGGTAAATATAACAAAAGGGGCTACAGAAACAATAAACTGTAAACAGAAATCCTGAGCAGCTGTCACACTGCAAGTCAGTTCATGTTTGGTAGCACTACTGTAACAGGCTTTTCTGGATTCTGCAATGCAACGTTACATTAATAAGCTGCACGGGGTACTTTCAAACAAACCTCACCAGCAACAGAATGTACTTTAAACTCAGAACCTAGGAGGACTTCACAAAACTACTAGTGAAGGAATCTTTTTCCCTGTATTTGATACACAAATTACAAAAACACATACAGAGCCGTATGATGATAATGCAGAACTTTGCAGAGGTTGTACACAGTAAACAGATCACACACACACCCCAGCCCGTACCTCACTGCAGCTAGCGCTGTACGGTAAGACTACAGGACAGCCGCCAGAGTTGGAAATGAGGAAAAGCAACACCTGCCTGGTCTGCAAGTTTCGCCTGTAACTCTGGTTTCCTCTTTGAAACTTGGACTTTGCCATCCATTTCATGGGTGTGGAGCTTAATTGGCAAGCACCATTTCTTGGCTACAAGAACCTAGCATGCAAACTCACGCATGCAATCCAAGCCCTTGTGATTATTTTATCATCCACTGACTAGGCAGCCAGTTCCCTGTGTGCGCTGACAAAACCAAGCGCCAATCCATCCTCATGTGAATTGTTTTGTCTGATTCTTCTAGTCCATCCAGGTGCTGGAGGAACAGCTGTCTGGAGTTCAGAATGGCTTCCCCCCCTACAGTGGGCAGCTCATCAATGGCTTGGTTAATATTCTCTATGGTCCGAAACTTACACAGCTAATAGGGAAAGCAGACAGTCATCTCCTGCGACGTTTCATTTCTCAGTCACAATCAAATGAACAGAATTATCTGTTCATTAAGATAAGTAAGTTTTATATAACTTTTATATATATATATAAAACTTTATATATAACTCATTAAGATGAGTAAGGAAGGTTACTTAACTTTCACACGGGATATATGGTGTGCTGGTTTTGGCTGGGATAGAGTTAATTTTCTTCATAGTAGCTGGTATGGGGCTATGTTTTGGATTTGTGCTGGAAACAGTGTTGATAATACAGGGATGTTTTCGTTGCTGCTGAGCAGTGCTGACACAGAGTCAAGGCCTT